ATGCTTCGGTGTTTAAGAAGCACAAAAGATAGCATGGTGTGGGGCAGAAACGACATAAAAAGGCAAATCTCACGTACAGTGGGAGTCAATGATATGCGAAGTATGAATGAGAAAGGTTGATATGTCACATTGAGAGCAGCACAACGTTACGATGTGGAGGTAAATGATGCCGTACTTGACTTCCGTGTCATGATTAACATGCTTGCAAGTGTCGTTTGCCTTCGTGATCTATTCACGTCACGCGATACCAAATTAAGTATATGTAGAGCTAGCGAAACGGCAACGAGCACGCTAGGAGCGTAGTATCTTGTCATGTCCTTACGTGACACGCGTGTCAAGAGTACCATGTTTACACTACTCATATATTTTGTCATCCATTGACGTGACGTAGCGGCAAATACGGTATATGTGGAGCTAGAAAAACAGCCGTGAGCGCATCATGAAAGGCTCAATATACTCCAATGTAACGTTGCGCGCACGCAAGCCGGGCACAGCGCCGTTACGTTAGCGATACGCGTGCTCTCTAGAGTCTGACGCCGGCGCGACCAGCTTCCGTCGGCGCGGCCCAACAGCATTCGGCGCGAAATGCAACATGCTGCATTTCGCACCGATGTGTTATCTATAGAACAATGCGTATCCCTCTTGCATGACGGACGGGCGCTGGACGCACTAAAACGTAATGCTTCAAAGCAACGCAGCGCGGCGCGCCACTGCGAGTCTATGGCAGGACCAGCACCTGGCGTGGACAACGCCGACGTGACGCGATGAAATGAACGCCGGCGAGCACGCGCACCGCGTCACGTCAAAATGTATTGGTACCTTGACTGTGCAATGTGGTCATGTTCTCGTATGACACGCATCTTGTGATTATCATGTTTACACCAGTCACAGATTTGTCATCCATCGATGTCACGTAATATCAAATTTTGCAAATGTTAAGCTATTGAAACGGCCATGAGTGCATCATGAGTGTGGCATGTTGTCATGTTGTAACATGACACGCATATCGTGATTATCATGCTGGATGTGTCATTTACCTATGTATTTCGTTCACAGTCACGTAATATGGAGTTTGGTTCATGCGAAGCTAGCGAAACGGCCGCCAGCGCATCATGAGCGTGAAATGTAGTCGTGTTGTTACATGACACGCATCTCATGATTATCATGTTTCCCCCAGTCACATACCTTCTTCATCCATTCACCTACTGCAATACCAAATTTGGTATATGTGACGCTAGTGAAACGGTCATGAGGGCATCTTGAGTGAGCCCTGTAGCCATGTTGTTACATGACACGCATGTCATGGTTTTCATGTTAGGGTCTGTGTTCGCCATACATTTATGTCCATATCATACCAGTTTTTCAAAATACCATGTGAACGAAACCACCGCCAGAGCTGCGGGACCATGCAATCTAAATCATGACATTCATGACATACATGTTATAGTAGTGATGTTATGACTAGTCAATTAGTCTTATCATAACATTTTTTTATGCCATACCAAGTTTGGTAACAAAACGATTATCGAAACGGCCACGAGAGCTGAAAGTCGTGGGTGCCTACATAGATAGATAGATAGATAGATAGATAGATAGATAGATAGATAGATAGATAGATAGATAGATAGATAGATAGATAGATAGATAGATAGATAGATAGATAGATAGATAGATAGATAGATAGATAGATAGATAGATAGATAGATAGATAGATAGATAGATAGATAGATAGATAGATAGATAGATAGATAGATAGATAGATAGATAGATAGATAGATAGATAGATAGATAGATAGATAGATAGATAGATAGATAGATAGATAGATAGATACGCTCAAAGTCGCCGAAGTTCGCTAAGAAATGCTTCGCATTAAAAGCACCATCAGCAAGTATTTTGAAGCCGGTCTCTCAATCTGTTCTAGAGGCGGGACGCATTCGTAATACAGTTATGGTGCTGTTTGCAGAGCGATCATGTCAGCCGACTAACAATGCGCGAAAACTGCAAGTCTGCAAGTTGCAGAAGTCGTACACAAAATAGCTGCATACATTCACGGTCCCTCAATATTTTACTGCTAAACTTAACCCTCTTAACCGCTACATAGCTATTAAAGGCGTTAATTTGTAGGGTAGGCTTACTTCTTTTTCTCAGTGTATATAGGCTGTGAGCATCGAGGCTCGCAGAAAAATTAGTCCACTTTTTTCTTTCTACTTACCCTTAAACTTGAGAAGCTCTAAGGGTTACGATAATATCGTGGCTGTTCATAACGTTGAAAAAAATCACAATCGCGGGAAAACAAGCAGCAACATTTGCTGTTTGAAGCAGGTTCGAAACTTGAATCAACTCCACAGAGTTTCCGGTCACCTCCGCTCGCCAGCACCACGGTATCTGGAAGTTGCAAATTGAGATCAGTTTTTGTTTGGCAGCAGCGAATTTCGGAGGCCGTGCATGAACTTGATTTTCGTGACCATATTCTCACTCAAATTAAGTTGCATGAAGCTTCCATTCAACAATCTTTCTTTGTTTGGTACGCTTGCCAAGCGTTGTTCTCAAGCATGCTGGGCATGTCTACAGTTTCCTTCTTCTTACACTGGGAGTCTGTTGTACGGGGTCAGACTCTTGACGTGGTCAACAACGGGACCATGTCACGGCTTGCCGCTATCGCGAGCAACCTAATGCGCGGTGTAGGAGTTGCACGGGTATGCCACGCCAATCCCGTAGCGCTTGTAAAAAAAGGGACGAAATAAGTGCAGCGTCGCAACTGTCTCTTTCTATGAAGATCACCTGAAAAAAAAAACTGCGTGGGGGATGGGAGAAGGCGACTGAAAGACATAGGAAGCACGGAGCAGCAGAGAAGAGTACAATAAAAATTGCATTTGATCTGACCCTCCTGCGCACGCAAGAACACCCGCGCGCCATGTGAAGTCGTTCTATAAAACCACTGAGAAAGCCAGCGGTACAGTTAAGTGCACGTTTTAGCACGGTCTTCTGCTTGGGAACTTAAAATGTTGTTCTGCCGTGCTTAGAAACTTAGCTAAGATTTCCGTCACGTTATCTTTGTACTGTCTGATTGTCTCATACCCGGCTTGGAAGTTCTCTTCCAAGATGAGACTCTAATTCTGTGTTTATCTTCTCCAGCTCATCGTTATTCGTTTTTGAAGCCTCTTGTTGGTGTAACCGAGCTGCTCATGCATGCGTCACGGAATCGCTAAGTAGGGCAATTGCCTGAGTGATGATGCGGCTGCTCAGAGATCTTCTTCGCCTTGAGCTTGTCCATGTATTCCAGGTCACTCGTAGCCATCGGTTGGTCAATCCTGGGTTGATATGCACCAAAATGTTTGGAATATGGCGTGGAGAAGCCGTCAAAGAACTCAATTCTTGTGGAGGTAGTTTAAGGAGGCTTTTATTGACGAGTCAGGCCATTGGTTCCATGCTGACAGTCGAAGGACACCGTTTTCTCTCGTGCTTGCTGGTGCTTCATTATCTTACAGTGGTCAGCAAGCGCTCGCGATAGAATGAACAAGGCATCATCCACAGTAAAGTTGAATCTTGGTTATCTAGAAAGTAGGGAGAAACGCTGCGTGGAGCTGTAGGGGCTAACACACCCGAATGGTGTATGTGATTGCTATTTTAAATGCGAAGCATTTCTCGGCGAACTTCAGCGACATTTAGCGTATCTATCTATCTATCTATCTATCTATCTATCTATCTATCTATCTATCTATCTATCTATCTGTCTATCTATCTATCTATCTATCTATCTATCTATCTCTCTATCTATCTAGCCGCCTAAGACGTTTAGCTCTCCTGGCCGTCTCTATACAGGTATCAATACCGAAATTGTTATGACATAACATGACTGTATGATGAGCATAATTGACTGGTCATAACATGAAAATAATTATATATATCTCATAAAAGTCATGTTTTATTTTGATGCTCTTTATGCTCTTGCGGTGGTTTTGTTCACATGACATTTTACAAAACTGGTATGGTATGACATGGCTGCATAGCAAACCTAAACGACAGGCTCTAACGTGGCACTTATGCTATGCATGTCATAATGTTCATGTTATGACTAGTCATCACTGCACGCCACGCTCATGGTGTGATCGCTGTCGTTTCTCTAGCTTCATATATACCCAATTCAGTACTACGGGACATGAATGGAAGAGGAAGGTACATGACTGATGCAAATATGATAATTTTGAAATGCGTGTCATGTCATATGTCATATGACTACGGCTCGTGCACTCTCGCGTCTGTTTCGCTAGCTATACATATACCCAAATAGCTGTTACGTGACGTCAATGGATGACGAATGGATATGACTGGTGCAAACATGATAATCAAGAAATGAGTGTAATGTAGGAACATGACAACATACCACGCTCATGATGCGCTCGTGGTCCTTGCGCTTGCTTGACATATACCAATTGCTGGTATCACATGACGTGAATAGACGACAAAGGTAAATTACACGTCTAAACAGGATAATCTTGATATGCGTGTCATGAGAAATATGATTACATGCTTCACTCATAGCGTGCTAGCGGACGTTTCGCTAGCTTTACAGATACCAAATTTGGTATCAGTGACTTCAATAGACGACGAGGGCAAATGACACGTCAAAAGTGATAATAATGATATGAGTGTCATGTCAAACATGACTACATGCTACGCTCATAGCATGCTCGTGGCCGTTTTGTTAGGCTCCACATATACGAAATTCGGTATTACGTGACGTGAACAGACTGGCGAATGTAAATGACACTTCGAAACATTGATAATCATGGCATGGTATACTCGGCGACAACTTTTCTTGGCACTGAAGGGAAAGCGACGGAGGTGGAGCTTCTGTATATGTAGCACTACGTAAAGTATTCCATTTGGGCGCGTGTCACACAACGCTGTGGAAAATGACGGGGGCGCATTATCAGCGTTTCATGTAGAAGAACACGCCGCTTAGCCTTTGAAGAGCACGTGAAAAGGCGGGACTTTTTCACGCATTCTGAAAACGCGAAGTCGGAGCAGTTAAAAGAAATACGAATATCTTACTGGTGTGAGCTGGGTCCTGTCTCAAATAGGCCGCACGTAGAAAATAAAGGAGGGACATTTGTATTTCGCGTTGAAAACACGGGCGCTACTTTGGAACTACCTTCACTTGCGGTAGGATGCCTGTGATTTGGCTCCGTAGCTTTCCCTTCAGTGCCAAGAAAAGTTTTTGCCAATCGTAGTCATGTACGGCATTGCTTAAGTCCACCTCCTAACGTTGTCCTCATTTTAAAGTGACATATCAACCGTCCTCACTCGAGATTCGCAAATCAATAATTCCTACAGTACGCGGTGTCTGGCAAATTTTTACTGAAAAATATGAAACACTTGAGATACAATATAGAAAACGACGTGTACCCACTATATTAGTCTGTTTCAATGGGCAAGGATACATTTCAGGACATCCCATAATAGAAACCGAGAAATTCGGACTGGTGCAAGAACTGTCATTGAGAGGTTTGCAGTCTTCCATGTATGCCGTGCATCGGCCGACACAGGCGAAGATAGTGTGTATGTGTCCATCAGTGTAGCGTGTTGTGTGTGCTTCTGGCAATTAGGAAAAGCAATCAATTGAATATATTGAATTTTATTCTTCGGGAAAACCGGGAATGCCGGTTCCTTGTGGTACCAATGGAAAAGCGTTAGACGGCGACATTTCATCCGCAGTTGAGGAGTCCGTACACGTATTTTCGCTGAGCATGTTTGACGTATTCATTCGGCGCACGCCTGTGGAAAGTTTTCTTGATTTTACGAACTCCACGATATAGTGATTGACGCTGGTGGAGCACTCTCGCAAGACCCAGTGTCCTGCGCGTTTGTAGAACACAATTGATGAGTTACTGAGCCATTCTCGATCATAAGTGCCGACGCGTGAAGTGAGAAATTGATCCTTCTGCCCCCACAAAATAAGTGTTGGTATGTTGAGCACGCGGTACCCGCAGCTTGTTGAGCTGCTCCTTGTCGTTGTTGAAGGCACGGTAGTAGTTTATGGCACCTGTCAAGGCACCTGAAAAAAAAAAACGAAGGCAACCGAAAAAATATAACCGCACCGAAAGGTTACTTACTTCAGAAAAATTGATACTCGAAGAGCAAACGATTGAGTGGACAACAAAAACAAGTGATTACATGAAGGAGAGGATTGTGGGGGTGCTGTTGCGCATCCCCTATTTCCTTGAACTCTGTCCTCATGCAAAAACTACTCGGGTATGTCGGCTATGTCTGTTAGCTCTTTACGAAGCCAATCTTTGAGCGGGTGGAAGAGGTCTTCTTTGACAACGTAGCGTTAGTCTCTTCGTCGTGAACAAGTACGTTCGGGAGGGTATGTGCTGCAGAAATCGGGCAAGTCCCTATCGTGTACTGCAGGCTGAAATATACTCCAAGGCATTGGACGGATGGAGAGAGTGCAGCGCCGCAAAAAGATGTAGAGCAATGAACATGCACTCTTCAACCTGAGGTGGGAAAGACTAAAGAACAGAAAAGTGAAGAGTACTGAGACTAGTAGCTCAGAAGGAGAACGGTTGCTAGCGTTAGAGACACAGAGTAGAGTGAATTTTTTAGAATGCGAAAGTTGGTTTTTAGACTGTTTGGACTGATAGGGCACGTTTTTGTATGCGATGACCGGCCCATTTTTTTAGTATTTCGAAATCACTGGGATTTTGAGACCATATGGGTAAGCAAGTCCCCATTTCTCAGGCCGTGCTCAAGCTCAGCTTTCTGCCTAAGATGAACTTATTGTTTGATACTGAAATCAGTAGCTTTTTAGAGCTGATAAGCTTTTTATCAATGTAGTCTTGTTATTCTATGACAGATGTTGCACTGTTTTCGAGAATGATTTTGTTTGCAGAATAAGTAAGCATATATACGGAACTATTGAACTAGAGAGTTGTTGGCGCGTAATAATTTCAATTTGTCACAATATTGCCTAAAATAATCAAAAATATATTTGCAGTCGGGGTGCGGGGTGCATGGGGTGTGGCGATGGCGTAGTGGTTAGAGCATCCGCCTCGCATGCAAGAGGTCTGTGGTTCAAATCCCGGTGACGCGCAATTCCCAACCGGATTAAAAAAAATCTGCGTGCTGATGGAACTGCATTAAGAGGCCTGGGGTGCGGCCTCACCGGTAACCACCGCCGGGAACGCACTCCCTCACCAGAGAAGGATTGGCCACCCTGGTGCAGTATCTTGCCACTACCTCCCACATGCATACTTCAAATAACTCACGGCCCTCAATCCCCAGCAGCTGCAAAGCAACTGACCACGGCGGCGGTCAGATCTGCAACGACGCAGAGGGTGCTAAGAATATCTGGATCCGGACAGGCCGCCATTGGAACCTGAACTTGGCAACATTTAACGCAAGAACCTTATCTAGTGAGGGAAGTCTAGCTGTACTATTCGAGGAGCTCGAGGGTGTTAAATAGGATGTAATAGGGCTCAGAGAGGTTAGGAGGAAAGATGAAACCTATACTATGCTACAGAATGGGCACGTCCTTTGCTATCGGGGCTTGGCAGACAGAAGAGAACTGGGAGTGGGGTTCCTAATTCACAGAAACATAGCTGGCAAGATAGAGGAATATCATAGCATAAATGAAAGGGTAGTAGGTATTGTAATTAAACTGAATAAAAGATACAAGATGAAGGTAGTACAGGCTTACGCGCCTACATCCAGCCATGAGGACGCTTCAGTTGAAAGCTTCTATGAAGACGTGGAATCGGCAATAAGCAAGGTAAAAACACAGTATACGATAGTGATGGGCGACTTTAATGCAAAGGTAGGGAAGAAGCATGCTGGAGACCAGGCAGTAGGAGATTATGGAATCGGCACTAGAAACGCCCGAGGAGAGCTACTAGTAGAATTTGCAGAACGCAATAATTTGCGGATGTTGAATACCTTCTACCGAAAACAAGAAAACTGCAAGTGGACATGGAGGAGCCCTAATGGCGAAAATAAGAACGAAATAGACCTTATAATGACTTCACACCCAGGAATCGTGAAGGATGTGGAAGTGGTTGGCAAGGTACGATGCAGTGACCATAGAATGGTACGGTCTCGAATCCGCCTAGACTTGAAGAAGGAACGACAGAAACTGATCCGCAAGAAGCCAATCAATGAGCTAGCACTGAGAGGAAAAGTAGAAGAATTCAGAGTGTCGCTGCAGAACAGGTACTCGGCTCTTAGTGAGGAAACCAACCTTAGCGTAGATACAATGAATGATAATCTGACGAGTAACCTTACGGAGTGTGCAGTTGAAGCTGGAGGCAAGGTCACTGGCAAGCTTTCCCAGGAAACGAAGAACCTGATTAGGAAGCGTCAAGTCATGAAAGTCTCAAGTACAACAGACAAAATAGAACTGGCAGAGCTTTCGAAGTTGATTAATAGGCGTAAGGTATGCGATTTAAAAGGTATAACATGGAGAGAATTGAACATGCTCTGAAAAACGGAGGAAGCGTCAAAGCAGTGAAGAGGAAACTTGGGATAGGCAAAAGTCGGATGTATGCACTAAAGGACAAAGAAGGCCAAATAACTACCAATATGGATAGGATAGTTAAAATAGCGCAGGAGCTTTACAGAGATCTGTACAGTAGCCGAGACAACCACGACCTTAATACTATAAGAACTAGCAGTAACCCAGATGACACCCCACCAGTAATGAAAGAAGAAGTCAGAAAAGCTTTGGAGAGCATGCAAAGAGGCAAAGCTGCTGGTGAGGATCAGGTAACATCAGACCTGCTGAAAGATGGAGGACAGATTGTGTTAGAAAAACTAGCCACCCTGTTTACGAGGTGTCTCCTGACGGGAAGGGTACCAGAGTCTTGCAAGAACGCTAACATCATCTTAATACATAAGAAAGGAGATGACAAGGACTTGAAGAATTACAGGCCGATCAGCTTGCTCTCTGTAGTATACAAGCTATTCACAAAGGTAATTGCTAACAGAGTAACGAAAACATAAGAATTCAATCAACCAAAGGAACAAGCAGGATTTAGAACAGGCTACTCAACTATTGACCACATTCATACTATCAATCAGGTAATAGAGATATGCTCAGAGTATAACCAACCACTATACATAGCCTTCATAGATTACGAGAAGGCGTTTGATTCAGTATAAATTTCAGCCGTCATGCAGACACTGCGGAATCAGGGCATAGATGAAGTATATATAAACATTCTGGAAGAAATCTACAGGGGATCAACTGCTACCATAGTGCTTCATACAGAAAGCAACAGAATACCAATCAAGAAGGGTGTAAGGCAGGGGGACACAATCTCCTCAATGCTATTTACCGCGTGCTTACAGGAGGTTTTCAGAAGCCTAGAATGGGAACAGTCAGGGATAAGAGTTAATGGAGAATACCTTAGTAACTTGCGCTTCGCCGATGACATTGCATTGCTGAGTAACTCAGGGGACGAATTGGCACTCATGATTACGGAGTTAGACAAGGAGAGCAGAAAGGTGGGTCTTAATATTAATCTGCAGAAAACGAAAGTAATGTACAACAACCTCGGAAAGGAGCAGCGCTTCGAGATAGGTAATAGTGCAGTTGAAGTTGTAAAAGACTATGTCTACTTTGGGCAGGTAATAACAGCAGAGCCTAACCACGAGATTGAAGTAACTAGAAGAATAAGAATGGGGTGGAGCACATTCAGCAAGCACTCTCAAGTTATGACAGGTACATTGCCACTATCCCTCAAGAGGAAGGTATATAACAGCTGTATCTTGCCGGTACTTCACTACGGAGCAGAAACCTGGAGACTTACAAAGAAGGTTCAGCTTAAAATGAGGACGACGCAGTGAGCAATGGAAAGAAAAATGGTAGGTGTAACCTTAAGAGACAAGAAGAGAGCAGAGTGGATTAGGGGACAAACGGGGGTTAAGGATACCAAAGTTGAAATAAAGAAGAGGAAATGGACATGGGCCGGGCATGTAGCGCGTAGACAGGATAACTGCTGGTCATTAAGGGTAGCTAACTGGATTCCCAGAGAAGGAAAGCGTGTTAGGGGGAGACAGAAGGTTAGGTGGGCCGATGAGATTAAGAAGTTTGCGGGTATAAATAGGAAGCAGCAAGCACAGGACCGAGTTAACTGGCGGAACATGGGAGAGGCCTTTGTCCTGCAGTGGACGTAGTCAGGCTGATGATGATGACGATGATATTTGCATTACTAAAACAATCAGTGAAACGTCAGCAGCTCAAACCATTTTAGCTCCGGGTCAAGATTAAATGTTGACTAATACAATGAAACACTGCTGAGTGCGTTACACCTAGCAGTTTTATGGACTAATTATGAAATGGAAGCGCACAACGTAGAAGCAGACGGAAAGACAGGGACAAGCGCTATCCCTGTCTTTCCGTCTGCTTCTACGTTGTGCGCTTCCATTTCATAATTAGTCATGTATCACCAACTCGCCCAATCAACCATTTTGACAAGTTTTATGGAACCGGACTTGCAGCTCTCTTAAAATATACGGGAGGTAGAGCACCTACACTGTGCTGTTAAACGAAAACTTTACTCAGCGAACTGAGGTGGCAAAAAAGGAGGGCAATAGAGGAGATAAGAAATAGAGGGAATAAATATCTTTCCGTTGCAAGCATAAACACCACCACTCATCTACCGGTAAAACGATCAGCATTAGCGCATCGACTTCGGCGCTACGCCCTCTCTGTTCGTCCATGTCTCCATGCCCTGCTTCGCTCCCAGGCATAGTCAGCAAAGTCGCTCGTAGTCAGCAAAGAAGTGGAGCCCACTCAGACGCACTCATGAATAATATTTAGCTCTTTGGACTCACTTTGACCCTGGCTCACAAAGTATTACTGACACATGCAGACGCACACTCACGGCTCGATCTAAGTCTTCGTGGGCCTGAGTAAGTCGACTCATGAGTAGGTTTGCCTGCCTATGGTCGCTGAACACATGCGCCATTTCATCCGGTGAGAGCGGCAATGTATCGCATGGGCGAGAGCACGAAAACTGAGATAAAGAAACAACGAAATAGATATAAAGAAGCAGTGAAACACATAAATGGATACGAAAACAAAGAAACCAATAGATACGAAGGTAGATAGAATGAAACACGCGTAAAAAGAAAGGCAGAGCGAGAAAATAAAATAGGAAGTAGAGAGAAACAAAAAGATGGAAATGACATCGAGAAAGAGAAGCAGCTGGAAAAAGCGACTAACGGAGAAAGAGAAAGGAACAAAAAAAAGTGACACGAAGGCAGAAAGAGTGAGGAAAAAAATATATATATGGAAAAGGAAACAAAGAACTACAAGCAAGGACAAAAAATTACACCACCTACCACTAAAAGAACTATGTTTGGATCTCAAGCAGCGGGAGCATGGTTCGCTTGTGCCGGAGATGGTGTACATTATTGAGCAGCCCGCCGCTAAAGCTGACACTGGCGCTGGCGTTCATGCTGGCGCTTATCGCAGCGTTGCACAGGAGAAAATTAGGGGCACGAGCTCTGTCGTTTGGTACTGCGGAACTACTGTGGCGCCGTCAGTAGAGTATGCAGCTGTTTCAGCACCTGTCGTGAGCGCCGCACTGTAGATGATTCCTAGAAGAGAGAGAGGGTGGGGCAGCGCATGTGCATTGGGGGTGGACGCCACGAGAGGGAGTGAAGGACAGATGGCCAGATGCGGACACAGCCCCCGCCATACCCTGCTTCGCGTCTAACACAAGCCGTTGTCCCATGTTCGAAAACACCCACGAGCAAAGCTCTTTAGAAATAGGACGAAATGGGAGGCTAACGACTATGAGCTTGACCTCACTTCTAGCCTTCTTTAAAGCGGGTGGGTAGGTGGAGAGGGCACCTGCTACGCTTGATGTCGGGAAAGACTGAGCGAGTGAGGGTGCAACTTGCGCAGTGCAGCTTGAGCCAGACCAGGCAACAAACACTACAAGCCTTGGGCGAATGACAGGGCGAATCAATGGTTTTGTGCGTTTGCCACATAGAATTAATAGAGAGAGCCTAAGGGGAAAGTGGAATCGGAAAAGTCATAACCACCGAAGCGCTGATATGTTGTAACGTAGTCATTGAGACCTTACAATACTTAAAGAAGCGCTAAAGATGGCAACTTAGAAAACTCAATTTATTGCAGTGTAAATTCAACCAAGAAAGTTTATGTGTAATAAACAAATCAAACTTCTGCGGTGTTTATACCCACTACTTCTAATCTGCGTTTAAAAAGATACAATGACCATTTAGGCAATTTACTACGCGCCGAAAAGTCGTTTGCAGATGGCACCATCATCCTTTTACCATATCAACATCTGAGAGCATGATCGTGCGGCATGCGACCGCAAGCATGCACCGGCTTGTTCTCGCGCCGGGTGAGTCGTGTGTAGTGTATCGTGGTCCCTCTTTTTGTTTTGTTTTTTTTGTTTTGTGCTATGAGCCAACAACTAGAGTGTGTGTGACAGCCTTTGTGTGACATAGACGCAAGAGAGATCCACAAAACAGGAAAAAAATTCCGGGAGCGGTTGCAGCATGCAGTCGCAAGTGCAAGGGGACGTCACGCTAAAGCTGTGTATCGTTCCGCCAAGGTGGCACCAAATTGGTTATAAGTTTCGATGCATGATTCCTATAGGTACATTTTCCTTCCACAGTATGTATATTATAAATACCCTTAAATTCATGGTTCACCGGGCTGAGGAGAGAGGACAGAGACGAAGAAAAACGGTGTGCTCCGGGTGCAGCGAGAAGCGTTGGGGCAGATATTTCCCATTTATGGTTGGTTTCGTTGTCTTTTTGCGCCGGCACCGCAACTGTATTACGGGAAGCTTCAACGGCGACAGTGATTACGGCGACAGTGGGGTGTGGGCCCAACGAGCTTCGCTCATAAAAGTAAAAAGCAACAACAAAGACCACCGAGGTGAACTTTTCTGTCAGGCTTAGCATCGCTAGTGTAAAGCTACTTAAAATTTTCAAACTCTATAGTGTATGCTTTCGTCGATAATGCAATGCATTGCATGAAAACAACCGAAATTATGATTTCTCGAGTTCATGAGGCTGAAGGAAATATCTAAGACAGCAGTGGTTGCTATATTCGTTGGGAGAACAATGCGTTGTTATGTAATGATAGGTGCGAACGGCCTGCCCACCTGGTTGTGAGAACATGTACTTGTGAATGTACTCTTCCCGCTCCGTAAAGACCTTGTGCACCTTGTCAAAGAAGGCAAAGTCCCGCATCATGAGGTACTGCTCCGGCACTCTGGGATGGCGAAACGGGATCATGTACCTGCACGTATGATGCACGTGTTTCATCAGCCAAAATTTAAAAGGAATGCAATGAACGTGAAGCACTAGGACAATGCATGACGACGTGTCAAGGTTATTAGCCAGATGTCGAGGCTCAAGAAAGTCAGGCTTGCCTCAAGGGTGAAGCAGTTATTGTGATAGCAGCAAATTGTTATTTTATACGAAATGATCGTGAGAGCTAACTCTTTTTGATCCCATCTTAGGCACCTCTACAAAACGCTTGTGTTAAAGAATACGGCTGCTCCAGAGACGCCTTTGGCACAGCCTCTTCACGGTGAGAGAGAGCGCCACACGTACAACGGTATACATAGCTGCCCGCTGATGGTTGCATAGATAACAGGATGGCGCTCGTACCAACAATGGCACCCGTGCCCGTAAAATCAATGTTCACAGTCCTCCTCTAGGAACAAGTCCCCCACCCCTTCACGTATCTTCATGCTCGTTAAACACTAAACAGTGGCGAGGCATTTCTTCTCTGCTTGAGCATTCAATGGTCACTCTAACAGGCGGGGGGACTAAACCGCATGTGCCCTCCGAGTGATGGACATGGGCTGGCTCGTGTGATCTCTTCTTCGGGCACGTTTGTCCTACCCCTCACACGTGATTACCAACGGGTGTAACATACAATGCACTATGGAACCTTACAAATTTAGACTTTAAACGGGACATAACGATGACGGCGAAAGCCGTCGAGATTGTTCATATACCTTCTATCGCATTAAAACCGAAAACCAGATTCGTGATGTAGTATTATATAACACAATACGTCGCAATAAAGCGCTGAGAGTCTACTTATGTTTCATAAGCTGCTCAACAAAAATTTACATGTTACTTTAAGTGAATACCATGGCGATCACTTTGAAACATGTGTAACTAGCTGCGTTATTGCAGTGCCGTTAGCAACTGTAAATGAAAAATAGGGCAGACCCACGTACCTTGAAAATCGATGTAATGTGAAACATGGCGAGGGAAGGTGACCATGATAATTTGGTTAATAAACAACACCTCATGAATTGACGCTAAATATATGTACAATAGATGCACGCACATGCAAATGTTGTACGGCTGCAGATGTTTATATGGCGTGTTGTTTGCACTTGTGCAACGATGCCAGCAGGAGCATGAGTATTAGCAACACCAGAAGCGATAAAATGAAAAGAAGTACTGGTGCCCGCAAAGATGGCAGCCCTGGACGTTGCTATGTAATCAACATCAGCGCATGTCAATCAACTAGTAAGGCGAGCAGCCTACGTGACGGCTGTATCGTAGGAATACATACGTAATGTTCATAAAATTGGGTAGCCAGTGGTGCTACCACAATTGATGTTTGAGGAACCTTAGCAAATATTTAGAAAGCAGTACCACAAAGCCACCTGGCATGACTTGTGGCAGTATGCTTGATTACCACGCAGAATGATTGGATGCGATTCTGTAAGGACCCTGGCAATTAGTGTTTTATTCATCGGGTTCTAGCTGCCAGTGTCAGCTTTTTTTTCTAACGCTCATGCGTTGAAATTGGCCATGTGTGTTCTCATCGTTGTTGTTGTTGTTGTTTCCCTGTGCAAATGGCTTGTACCTGAAGAAGGGGATTGGCCGATTATGAGGTGAATTTGCCCTATACTTTCAGCATTGCGTCATTCTTGCAAAACTTTTGTAACTTGATTTTGATTTGAAATGCCGATATCAAGTTTGCAGAAAAAAATGAAGAAAAATTGTAACACCGTAATTTAGCAAGAAAATTGTTTAGGCGCAGTGATGTATTCCTGAACGGCGAATAAAACATCCCTGTGGCTGAAACCCAGCGTAGAGGCTCCAAATGAAAGAAGATCAGGTTGTGATAACTGCAAGTGCAGTCTTTGAAGAGGTGGTGCTAGTATGCTTTGCCTGAATGAATCGAAACGGCGACAATGTAATAAATAATGACTGATCGTTTCCTCTTGATTACAGTAAATCCACATAGGGGAATTCAATATACCTGATCTATGCAAGTAAAAATTGAGGGAGGTAACGCAGCAACGAAATTTCGTGATGACAACTTCCATCATCCTTGAATTAGATAGTTCACTGCGCCAGGGAAATAACAAGTGTTTGTACTCTGGAGAAGCTGCCAGTGCAGGATCTGATAAATTTTGCCTGATTTTATGTCTGCGAAATCTCGCCACCGTAATGCATGCTGTATGAGGGAAAATGGGAATAATTGGTGTCGAAAGCGATGCCTTCACAAGAGAATCAGCTATTTCGTTTAACAACAAACCTTTGTGCCCTGGTGTCCAGATTAAATGGATACTTCGGAGATGGCAGGGAACCAATGATTTAAAAAGTTTCAGTATGGGTGAGCGACCAGATGCGGACAGAGAAGAGCACACTGATAATAAATCAGTTATGAATGCTACGACTGGAAAGGAAATATTCACCTTTTGCAAAGCTAACATTATTGCCATGAATTCAGCCAGAAAGACAGGAAGAAAATCCGGTAAGCGAAGTGAAAATTACCAATCAAGTTCGGGGAAATATATTCCGACGCCTGATTTTTCATGTGATTGAGATGCGTCCGTTGCTATAATGACATTTGTTGGCAGAGTACTTAAATGGTCCTGCAATAAACCATTTTAAATGCCTGTAGGTAATACCTCAGCGGGAATTGGGAAGATATTATGGTAAACAATTTCTGGACAATTTTGTTGCTCAGTTAAAGGAATCAGATCACAGATGACGAACTTGTACACTTAGAGGCTCAAGCAAGTTCTCATCGTTCTTGGGTAGATGTAAGTGTTAATTACCTGCGGCACATACACGTACCCACATACGAGTGGCGCATACCTGCCCGCATGTATGTGCATATATATTACGACTGTGACTGCCGAGTGCCTTCGCTGGCGCAGGGACAGCGTGCTGTCGCCTTTCATGATGGTGAATGCAGCATGCTAAGTGGTGAACGCAACACACAAGATTTGCAAAAGTAATATTCTCAAAGCTTCTGCCTCGTTGCAGTAGTTCCCACGATCCGTCATTGTGAGTTTTCGAACTATTGCGCTATTGTGCTCATGACACATGAGCAGTGCTGTGACCATTCCTCCATCAAGGTTTTAGTGTACATTGCAAGTAGGCTATTTGACTGATAAATAGCCTTGTTTCCTTAATCTTTCGTGTTGGTCTTCTGTCTCACGCACTCTTTTTTCCAGCAATAAAGGCGCAACCAAATTGTGCATTTATCAAAACGTGTGTAAACGGCAAGTTATTAGAAAGCATTTGAAGTTAGCGATGATGTCACAACCAGTGTCAAGGTTATGTGGTTCTGACATTATTATAAATATGTTTTGCTGTTAATGTCCCCTCCATGCGTCAATGGTGACGTTGGCGACGAGCCGCCTACTACTGGATGCATGGGCTTCTTTTATGGAAAGTACTCTAACAGTTTTCAAATACCTTGCGCCGTCCGCACACCGAGGCATCTGGCCGCGCGTTTTTCATCGTATATTTTGTGCTGCGCGTTTTGTGCCTCAAGGGCAAAAAAGATGCTGCGTACATGCTGCGTATGTGGGTGTCGATCCCGTTACAAGGAAATTTAAAAAAAAAATGTGGCTGGCTGCCCTGTATAGAAATCGATATAACACGAAAGTGAAACGTGTTTTTACCAGTGTTGAGGAGTTACCACCCCGGCATGGAAATATTCTGAAATCATTCTACATTTTCGTGACTCCCAAATGGAATGGAAATAATATGGAGACAACGCTTGGAGAAATGAAATGCGAGTAGAGTTGAACATGTTTTGCCCGAAGTGGAATGGGAATCGAATTACGTCGTTCACCAAAAATAGAGCACGTTTTAGGACGTGTGCTGTTTTTCAACCTTCAAACATTAGTAATCAGAGAATCGATTTGAACGATAAAGTAGCATTTTTATAATGTCTTGGCTGATTACAAGCACAATACATTTATAAGCAACGCGCCTACAACAAGACTGTTTATATATTGATTAAGCTTTTCTGAAGTTTGTCTATTTTCCGCGGAACCGTGGTCGAGGGGAAATACAGTAACAGCATGCTACCCATGCTTTCTTTACGCCTTCTCATTTTTTTTCGCCCTCGGCGAAATCCAGGCTACAGTACCCAGCCGTCTGCTGTCTTGACACCCTTTACGTCTTTGTGCTCGCTTCTGTCACCATCGGCCAACTCGGACGCATGTTCGAAAGAAACGCTTCTTTCTTTAGGTTGTGATGTGTATTAACGCTGACGTGATGCGTTTGTCACCGCAACCTCACCTCGTACTTCCCCCGCCCCACACGCCCCACTTTCACCGCACTGACTCCCCTGTCTAAGCACATAAGCGCCTTCGCCTGAAACTTTGTCGGGGAAGGTCTCAAGGTCAGCACAGCATACAGTCCTACATGATAAACTGTGTGAACTCCGCCTTAGTACAGACAGAAAGAGAGAGAATGAACTTTTCAAAGCATTGGTTCCGGAAGATACCTGAATCAGGAAAGCCCACGGGACGACGGCCAGGGTGGCCCTTCCCCCATTTCCGTAGAAAACTTATGCGCCGAACCAAACCCAGGCTCGCTAAGTTCTGGGGGAGTGAGGCGGGAGGAGGTTCGGGTGGCGGCGCCGGCCCCGCCACGCGTGTTGGCGGCAAGAGAAGCTCTACCATTATTACCCACCACACAGGCTCCTGCGAACAGTGGTTCTTACTTAAGCAGCTCATGTTCGTGAAGCGCCACACAAGGCTATAGGTAGACGGCAGTTGACTTATCTCATACATTTCTTCTTTAGAACCAACCGTTAAAGGAGCCGTCCACTCACAGTTTGGGTTTTTAAACTAGACAGTGGATATCTCACTTATATCTTAACTATTCGTTGCAAAGTTTTGATGAATGCAACCATATAAAGTTTTATTTGCACCTTGTACTACTTGCGAACTTAATTGCAGCATTTAAAAAACTCGAGGACGCTTAAGCACTTCTGATGACGTCAACCTAGAAACC